AGTTAGTTACTTATAAGACTGTCAGCTGATTTCTCAACAGAAACTTTGCAAGCCAGAAGGGATTGGCAAGAAATATTCAAACTAATGCAAAACAAGAAACTACAACCAAAACTACTTTGTCATTTAGACTTTAAGAACAGATAAAGAGCTTCCCAGACAAGAAAAAGCTAAAGGAGTTCATTGACACCAAACCAGTATTACAAGAAATGTTTAAGAGATTTCTTTAAGAAGAAGGAGAAGAAGGAGAAGAAAGAAGAAGGAGGAGGAAGTAGAGGAGGAGGAGAACAACAACAACATCGAAAATATGATTAACAAAATAGCAATAACTACATATCTATCAACAATTACTTTAAATGTAACTGGATCAAATACTCCAATCAAAAAACAAAGATGGCTGAATAAATAAGAAAACAAGACTTTTACATATGCTGCCTACAAGAGACTCACTTAAGATCGAAAGACACACACAGACTGAGAGTAAAGAGATGGAAAAAATATTTCATAAAAATGGAAACAAAGAAACAAACAAAAGCTGGGGTAGCAATACTTATACCATTCAAAACAGATTTTAAAACAAAGCTTATAACGAAAGACGGAGAAAGACCTAGTAATTCTACTTCTCGGTATTTATCCAACATTCAAAACAATAATTCGAAAGGACAAGTGCATCTGGTGTTTATCAGAGCATTATATATAATGCTCAAGATATAGAAGCAACTGATGCCCAACAATGGCTAAATGGATAAGAAGAGGTGGTACATATGCACAATAGAATATTACTTAGCCATAAAAAGAGTGAAATCTTGCCATCTGCAACAACATGGATGGACTTAGAGGGTATTGTGCTGAGTGGAGTAAGACAAATGGCAAAGAAAGACAAATGCCATATGATTTCACTTACACGTTGAATCTAAAGAATAAAATAAATGAAAAACAAAACAGAAAATCATAGATATGGAGAATATTTTAATGGTTGCCAGATGAGAGAGGATTTGGGGGGATGGGTGAAAAAAGGGGAAGAAATTAAGAAGCACAAATTGGTGGTTAGAAAATAGTCATGAGAATGTAAAGCATAGGAATATAGTCAATAATATTATAATAACGATGTATAGTGTTAGATGGGTACTATATTTATCAGAATGATCACTTCATAAGTTGTATAAATGTCTAATTGCTATGTTGTATACCTGAAACTAATATAATACTGTATGCCAACTATAATTGAAAAAATTTAAAAAGTTATTTAAAAACAGAAATTATATATAGGTTGAGGTATGTATGATATGTGAGTTTTCAGAAAGGATAAAAATGGCAACCTATATTATTATTATATAAATAAATAAACATCTTATGAAATATAGATAAATAAAATAAAAGGAAAAAATGATGTCATATAAATGGAGAAACATAGTTATAATATTTTTTCCAAATAATAATAATATTCTTGATTGAAATAGTAAAAAGAAAAATAAATTTCGTAGTTGCTTTTTAAAACCAAAATGGTAGAATTTTTCTACCACGAAAATTTTTAGAAAATTAAGTGGAAGGAAATTGCTGCTTGTGTTTAATAAATCTTCCCAAATTGATCAAAATTTTAATTTGGTGTCACAAATATTTCAAAATATCTAATAAAATCACCTCATTTTATATCAATCAACAGTGTAGCAATTCCTCTTATAAAACTAAAATTCCTCATCAAAATAATGAGGAGTTATCACTAAATTTTATTTTAGGTAGATATTAGCTCTAAAATCTAGAAACTTATGATCAGAACATGGGATTGAATGAGAGATATACGTTTTCACTATTACAAAAACTCTCCAGGACTGGCTATGGCCATAAAATTAACACTTCATAGAGTACATTTTAGAAACAACCTATTACAAGGAATTCAAAGCTAAATTCTAATATTATTTATTAGAATTTCTATTAAATCCACATCATACTCTGCCTGAGTTTGTTGCAAATATAATCCTCACCTCCAGATTATTTTGGATTTTTCTTTCTATACCCATCATGTGTTCCAAGTTCTCTTGAGATTGATGAACATTTCACTTGTGGGACCAGTTTAGAAAATAATATAGAAATCTGTCTAGTGCAGGTGATGATTCTAATATCATGACTCTAAACAGAAAAATAGGTCCTATTGTTTTACCGTTTCCTAAAATACTTAAAGCAAAGGACCTGAAATGAAGTTGCTCACTTGTTTATGGTTTATAAAAATGAATATCTACTGAATCAAGCAGTCCAACATCAAATCAAAATCCAAACACAGATGAATGTTAAGACTGTAATCCAGTTTTAGACATCAAGGTTGCTAACTTTAAATAGCATTAATAACCTAATTACCTTCTTATTAACAGTGATAGAACAGGTTTAAAATTATAAATATTCCTGTGGAAAAAAGATACTTAAACCTTAAAATTACAGTCTTCAGTCATGGTTATATTTGACACACATGGATTCCTCAAATAGGCCTAGTTGTCTCTATTGTGAACTGTTCTTATCATTTGAAAAATGTTTGAAAAATTACTATCTGAAGTTTATTTATCTGAACCTTTAACAATAGGCATAACTCTTTAAATGCATGTCTAGATCCCATAAGAAAAATCTCTTTTCTGGAGCTGAAGGCAAAGCATTCTCTGGAAAATTTATATTGGAGAGATATCCATAGAGTCCATAATTTATTACATGTTATTTTCTCAAATAATATAATTTTAGACAGCTTTCTAATAAATCCTGGCCACCAAAAAAGTATTGAAAATGGTATTTCACTGTAGTTTGTATCACAGTGACTTTTCACTTAAACAACATAAAACAAAATGTTCGTCAAGTCCAGGTTAGTGGGAAAAATCTCGAAGAAGTCAAAGAAGAAGGGAACAGAGATAATGCTTTCAGCATGGCTGCTTGGAAGGTGGCACAGCCTTAAAAGACAAACAGAGGTTGGAAAAACTGGAAGGGGCAAAGTCATCATTTCCGCTGAAGTGTGCAATAGGAACTAAGTCACTGAGGCACTATCGAGTCTGGACAGCAAGAGATATAAATAGATAGAAAAGAGTGGGTATAATGCAGAATAGTACTGAAAAGGCTTTGTAGTAGTAGGAGGAGAGGAGAATGTTTTCAAGAGTCCTTAAAAATGTCATTTCCCTCTCTGTGTTTGATTTTTAACCCATAATTACATTTTTAAAAAATTATTATTATCAAACCTATTTAAGTGGCAATGTAAGTCACAATCTCTTATTCATAACCTTTGGGAAATGTTTTTCAGAGTATTTCAGATTTAAGAAAGATAATACAGTATATATACCATGTATTATGTAACACATCAAGCAGGATCTGTGGTGATACTATGTAATCAAACACATTCTTTCCTGAGCAAAACGTGATTATTCATATAAAGTAGGGTAAATAAAGAATATAAAATCATTTATATTTTTCCACTTGAGTCATTTCAGGTCAGAAGTTGCCATCAAACTAATTCACATCAGGTTTTGCTGAAAAAAGTTACAAAACAAAACAAAACAAAACACACCCATTTAATTTTCAGAACTTATTAGACTTAAGAATTGTGTCTAAGATATTGAAGTTGTATATTTTAAAACTTCATGACCAAAAATATAGTAAAAAAAGCATAGGTACATACATACTCTATAAAGTTATATCATAGAAGTATTTAATTCATTTAAATTAAATTTAATTTAAAGCTATGAACAAAAATACTCAAAATGATATTTTTTTGAATAAAGTATATGTAACTAAAAATATTTAATCAGGAGATGAGGAGCCAGACACTATACTGAAGTTAGGAAGTTTGGAGAAGGCCAACCTGTGTGCCAATAAGAACAGGGGGAGAGCAGCTCATGGGATGGAGATTCCCAAGTTATGCCAAGAAATGCCTAAGGGACTAGAACATTTAGAAAGATTGGAACATGGATTTCTTCTCTCTTTTACTTTTCAGGAAGAGAGCAAGCACCTGAATGTGGAAGGTGAATCACAAATGTAGCCCTGTCAACCACTTCTCAGTAACCTAAAAAATTAAATAAAATTCAACACAGTATCTGATAAATAGATCTTATATAATTCCAATCACTTTCCTAACTATACAACACTTGTCTTGCATTGAAAAAGGAAAGAGGAAAGAACAAAAAACAGGCAGAAAACCAGGAACTCCTTACTTGTTACTTATGCCTGAATTCCTTTAATGTGAGGGAAAAAATTATTTTATTCTAACATTAGAGAGTTAAATAAAATGTAAGTTCTTGTAAAAAGGCAATGGAGTGATGAATAGATCTATTCAAAAGATCAAACTGATTGTAGCTCCTTATTTTATTTTTGTGAGGAAGAAAGTAAGGAGACCAAGAGGATTTTAAACATATTTGCTAACAGTAAACAGTGAGAAAATGAGATTAAGAACAGAAACCAACACTTTCAAGGCAGCACAGCATTGGCTAATGTACTGGTCACTTTCAACTGAGTTGGATCAAAAACAGACTCTATACAGATATTTTGGTCTTTCACAAACAAATAGCTCCACGTATATGATGTGTACTTAAAAAAATAAGAATAGCTGAAATCACACACAGGTAAAATTAACAAAAAAGTTAAAGTATGTACAACATGATTCTTTAAACAAATATAAATATTCATTTATATACTTACATGTAAAAATAAGAAGTACATGGTTTATTCAACACTAACAGTCATTGGGATTGTCGGTAATTATTTGTTGTCTTAATCTTCTGGTTCTTAAATGTTCTTTAAAAAATATTTCTAATGTTTTCATAAAAATTATGAAAATGTCTAATAGAGATTCTTCAGGAAATATATTAAATCAGCTATCATTATTTCATATACTTTTTATTCTCAACTAAATAGAAGTCTATTTTTAGCAATAAACCATAGGTTTTCACAATAGACAAACTATAAAAAGTTTATCTCAAGTAGTAAGACAGAAAAATTCATAGTAGACTTAACCATAGTTGCCTGGGTAATTTACTTACAGTACACATCCACTCTGATTGACTTTATCGCTGGGGACCCCAAGCCATTCTCTGCTTTACAGTAATACCGGCCTCCTTGGTGTCGCTGAATATTTGTAATTCTCAAAGTCTCATTGAAGACACTTGAGTCTTGGAATCTGTCAGAGGCACTTCCTGCTGTTTTGGTCCACCTGATCTGAGCAAGCATCAACAAAGATTGTTACTTTAGGTTGGTTTTTTCACAGGGAAGTCAAAAATCAAATCATTTGAGGAGTTCGTTTTCAGAACTACTACAATGCCATTCTTGGCCAGTTATTGAAAAATTTAAAAAAGTTTATACATACAATTAAATTATAAAATTGTAAATGCAATGTCATCATTGTATAGTGTATATAAGTTGAATTCAATTGCATAGAATTCATCAATAGCTTAATCAGTGCAGAGGGCAAATAAATATAATATAAAGGGAATTAAATATAAGTATAATCACCTCGCTTATCTGTGGTTCACCTACTGTGATTTCAGTTAACCTGCAGTCAACTGCGTGCGGTCTGAAATGTTAAATGGAATATTCCAGAAATAAATAATTTATGTTTTAAATTGCACACCACCATTCTGAGTCATATGATGAAATCTTACACTGTCCTACTCCATCCTGCCAGGGATATGATTTATCCTTTTGTCTGGTATATCCATGCTGTGTAAGCTACTGCCTATTAGTCACTTAGTAGCCTTCTCAGTTATCAAATCAACTGCTTCTGTACTTGTGCTCCATTAATTCTTGTTTATCCTAACAATGGACCCAAACCAGTTCACATATCATTTATCACACTATATAGTTATAATTGTTCTATTTTACTATTAGTTATTTTTATTAATCCCTTACTGTGCCTAATTTATAAACTAAACTTTATCATAGGTATGTCCATATAGGAAAAAACGTAATACATATAGGGTTCGGGACTGTCCATGGTTTCAGGCATACACTAGAAGTGTTAGAAAGTATACCAGAGAATAAGGAGGGATCTACTAAAGTACACAGGAAATACAAATTAGTTTCTCTTTTTGTTGGGCATTTAAGATTTTCTTTTATATTTCTCAAACCTTGTAAATACATTTTATTTATTACTACAGGTACTGTAGCTAGGCTCTCAATTTTTTTTTGGACATGCTTCATTATTTTGTTTCAAACTTCTTGTTGATTTGAAGAATTTAAGTATATTGCTATAATGGCTTTTTGAGATTATGCATAATTTTATACACCTGGTTGTTAAAGGTGTAGTTTTTTTAATATGGCTTTGCTTTAATAAGCTCACAAATGACTTGTCTGTTTTGATAATTAGAATTCACTTTACATCAATAATTATTTCCGAAAAATGTGCAAACTTTTCCAAAGAAAACATTTCTATTACACTGCCAAAACACTCTGAATATCTAAAACATTTAATTATAAACAATACCATTCTTTTAAACACAGCTGTGTATGACAGACTTAGTTTTTGCTATCAATAAAGACCAGCATTCAACTCAAATTTTGTGTATTTTAGTTTATAAAACCTGAACAAAAGCCACATGATGGTACTGCAAAGTGATACAAAATAGGAAGTAAAAAAGGATTTAGTTTTATTTCTCTCCTTGTTCCTGCTGTATTATATATTTGTTTTTATTTTCAAATTGAGAAATGGCTGATAAAACTCCTCTGGTCAACACACATGAAGAAACATGAAAAAATGCCACTGAAGACTATGTCTTCAAAATTGAAACCCTATAATACTGCCATTATGTATGCTATCTTTATATAATGTTAATTAAAATATATGATCTAATGACTTTAAAAGTACCTTTAAAAAGCCCTCCAAATCATTAAAATGTCAGTATGAATAAATCATATTTGCCCTTAATTGTTGGGTAAATAAAAATATTAATTAGAGATAATAAAAATTGACTAATTTACAAAATTAAATATCAAATACTTATTCAGCACTTTGTGCATGGAACATACACAGAAATAAACAGCATAATTACAGATTTCAAGCAATTTATAAACTGATTACAAGTATGCATATAAATAACCAGGGTGTAACAAGGGCACTGGTTTGATAAGTAGTATTTCCATGGCGAAATCTGAAGTTCTATTTTCATTTAAATTTTAAATCTACAGCTAAACGAATAAAGAAGACAAATAAATAAATTACATATTTTTGTTCTTGTATATAAATATACTAATTCTCTTTAAGATATTAGATATTTCTAAGATATAACCTAGGATATAAACAAAAAACAATTTCAATTAAGAGACCAAGTTTTCTTTGATGATCACGATATAATAACTAAAATTGATTTTGAAAAAGAAATATTTCAGAAAATAAAAAAAAAAAGTGTATCAGGATAAAAAGAGAGGAAAATGGCCTAGCACTTTCAGATATTAAAAATACATTATTAAGATACAATGATTAAGTTGTATAATACTGGTATAGTACTAAAAAATTGTTCAAGAATAGGGGAAAAGAGAGGTAAGAGTGTGTATGCACTTGTGTGTGTGTGTATGAGAAAGAGACAAAAGAGAAAGGTGAAAGAGAGAGAGAGAAGAAACTATGACATAGACTAGCAGTTATCAAACGTTTTAGTCTTAGACTACCTTTACACTCAAAATTTATTAAGGACACCAATTGTTTTTGTTTGTTAGAATTATATCCATTCATAATTATTGTATTAGAAATTAAAACTGAGACCATGTTAAACTATGTATTATCAACTCATTTTTAATTATATAATAAACTAATGACATGTTAACATAGAGAATATTTTTAGTCTGAAAACTATATATTTCAAACAAAGAATAATTGAATAAAAAGAATGGAATCATTTTATAGTTCTTCAAGTCTCATTAGTATCTAGTTTAGTGGAAATGATCTGTCTGGAGAATCATATCAGCGTCTGCATGCAATCTGTTGCAACATGTTGCTTTGCTTGAAGTATTTGAAAATAATCTGGCCTCACAGTATTTGGTTGTAAAGGGAAAGGTATTTCAACAACCTTTTCAGAACATCGTGAATAGTCTTTGATATCACACTCAAAAGTGGTAGTGTCCTAATATTTGCTTGCAAAGTGGAATATATAACCATATCGATGACCTTTTGGCACCGTTATATTAAAATACATTGGTCTATCCTGCACTTTGTATAGCTTTTTACTCATACATGATTTTATAACATCATGCATTAGTCATTGGAAAATATAAATTCACGGATATTCCAAATGTTGACACATTTCATTTTATAAGACAAGTCATTTTTATTAATCTCATCATCAGTATCTTCAGTAGAGTCTTTAAGTGTTGGGAAGCCATCATGCAGATTTTGACATTGATAGATTTTCCAAAATTCTAGTTTTTATCTTAAAACATTTTATCTTAAAATTTTATCATTAGTAACACATATAGCTAAGGTGCTTTCTTTGAGATGGCAATTTCACTTCACTTTTGAGAATATATTTGCCAAATACCCAAGTCTGAATAACCATAATTTGTATAACAATTATTTGTTAAAGTCAAAACACAATTTTATGAAAAAAAAGTGTCTAATATACCACAAAACTTAATCACACAGTCTGTTACCTTGAGAAAACCACTGTACATTAGTAAACAGCAGAAGTGTTTTATAGAAATTTTCCATTTTGTCACACAGAACATTAAAAATATAGTAGTCAAGTTTCAAAATATGAGTTTTTTCCACCCTTTCTCTACTTTTTAAAAATAAATACTGAAAGGAAATAATCCTGAGTCACAGAAAGATAGGAATCTACTCATTGAGAGGGCTTACAAGTTATATATGTAATTGAAGACACACACACACACAAAAAAAACCCTAGACATACTCTGATAAAAGTTGTGATTTTGAAGTCTGCAAAGGAAATCATGTAGGCTTCCAGGCAGAAGGAACAGACTGTCACAATGTGTCAGAACCTACTCATTTCCTAATATTGACTCTCCCGTTTTTTCATTGCAGTTGAACCTTAAATTATCCATCAGATAATGGCTGTCCAGGACAAAGAAAACATTGCCCAGTTATCCATTCAGCATGTTCTTGCCAGTGTATTTCAAGCAGAAATATCCTTATAAGAAAGCAGTACTCTACATTTAGCTCATTTCAGCATGTTTCCACTGGCTCTCATTGTGGACCATGAGCTTATTTGAAATGAACATCAGGCACAAAGAAGCAATAAAAGAGAAGAATATAAATTCTTGACATCACAGAGTTGTACCCACCTGACCTGAACTAGTTATAGCTCTTGATTTCTACATGAGAAAGAAATAAAATTTTATATTATGTCATAATCTGGGAGGATTTTCTATGACTAGCATCTAAGTTTAATTCTAATTGATAAGCCTGGGTGGTACAGGAGATCAGTTTGTCTTCAAGAGTCTCATCTCTACCACTGAAAGCTCAAAAACAATGGAATAACACCTGCAGTTACTAAAAAAAGGGGCAGGGGTGAGGGGTGGGGTGGGGTGTGTGTATCTATATCCCAGTATCTGACAGCCAAAATCTCATTCATCTTAGTATGAAAGAAAAATATTTAGTGCTATGCAAACATTCAGTAATCTCAAAATTCAAATAATCCCACCTGACAAAAATACTTGAGACAATATTAAAACCACCGAATGAATAAATTGGATGTGAAGCAATGATATAGAAAAGCATATGGTGGTGAGCATTTAAAATGAGTATATGTGCATTTGATGAATAAGTATGGTTCATCTGAGTAATATACAATTCAAGTACTAAATAAAATTTCTTAAAACCAAAATATAAATATATATAGAATAAAAAGATTAGTAATATTTTAGCAAAACTTTGGAGTTTGGAGTGGGTGTAGAACATGAAGAGGAGGTAAAACTCTTAATGCCTTGTGGGAAGAAAAGGAAAGGGAAGGAGAAAAATAAGTTATCTAAAATCTTACACTTTAGAATAGTCGAAAGGGGAAAAAGTGTGTCTCTATGAGAGGAACAGTAGGTATTTGTTTACAAATATCAAAGAACTATAAATATCTGATTAAAACAATTTTTAAAATACACAATTCCAGAAATGAGAGGGAAAATAAGATAAAAGGGAAAG